GTGAAAAGTACAGCACAAGACAGAAGCAAGTGGAGACGTGCAGTTGAAGCCCTATGTTCCACTAGGAACCCAAGGGAACAATAATAATAATAATATGAAGGTGTCCGGATAAATAATTATCAACTAGAGTTTGTGTCAACTTTCTTTCTTCCTGATCATATAATATTTTGATATTGTTTAAGTAATATGCAGTTGACAAGAATCCACGAAATAAAACACAAAAAGTCGTATTATCTTGAAAATATTTGTTCATTCTTTCTTTGTTCAAAGTAGATTGAACATTTTTTAATCGCCTAAAATATATAGTACAAATTCCAATGTTTGTTTAAAAACTTTGTTTTAATTTGTACTTATACGAACTGACTCCATCACTATTTTGCGCCTCTCCATTGTGCCATCAATACGCACATTCCTTCAGTCTGTAATACATAGCCATTACATTTGTTAAATAAGTTCTAAGCCTTCTTTCCTGGATAATTGTCACCTTCTATTTTACTCGAATATACTCGAATACACCTGAGGACTTCTGCTTAATAAGCAAGCCATTTTTTGCATACATTTATTCCCCTTAATGAATATGATTGGAGCAAGAACAACAGTGGTTTGTGCAGGATAAAATGGTACCATCATTGTTTATTTGGTTGGCTTCTCATCAGCTGCTTACAGCCCAAAGTCATTATTAAGTATATCTACAGAAACAATTTTAACATACTTACACAGAGTTCATTTTTAAGTAGAAATCAACCAATATTTGCATACAATAATATATATATATATATATATATATAACACTTTATCCTAAACGATAGTGGAAACTTTCGGCATCACGTAATCAGATGAAAGATGGGGTGAAAATATCCAGTTACCAGGCAGGGCAAAGAAAGACTAATAACTGCTTCGTTCTGAACGCACAAATCATGTTTCAGGCGCTTGATGGAGATGTCTTCAGCAAACCTGAGGAGAATTGGGTTCTTTTACCTGTTGATAATTTTGAACGATTTTGTGACGTCCACCTCATGACTGGCGTCAAGAAGATGCCTGGCGATGGCACTGTTTAAAGCATCTAATCCCTTGAGATATAGGCTTTTTGGTACATGTTCAGAAAATCGTAGATATGCCCTTCTTCTTTCTGTCCTTCTAATCTAACTGCTTCCACAGTTGGAGTTAATATGAGAAAGGTGGGTATCTGTCGATTTTTGATTGCACCAAAGAAGAGCAAATTGTTCGATAGATGGGAACCAACTTAGCTGCAGGATAGGCTCTGCCTAGTGATGTCTTCAATCTTATGTTGAGAGTAAACCAATCAATAAATAAATGATGGTACCATTTTGTTCTGCAAAAACTGTTGTTCTTGCTTTATTCAAGTGCTTTTTAATTTGCATTTTGTCGTCAATACACTTACAGGTTCACCAGAGTACTGAATTATTGAGTGCATAGGTAAATTGCGTTAAGTAAGCATGTGGTGACAGCTGTCTACTAGCCAAATTGGTAGACAGTAATTTACGTCAATGTTTACGTTCTCAAGATTGGTCGTGAGAAAATATGAACAAGACTGATTCAAAATCCGACTACAGCAGACTTTGCGTAGGTGGATACAGTTAACACATAGATGATCTGTTCCCTGGCCCTTGTCTTCTGTTGTCACATTTGGTGTCGCTGCCTACCGACAAATGGAAAGCCTATGCTGTGCAGTTTTTGATGGAGACATATGGATCTTCGGGCGGGACTTCGAGACTTCTTCGCAGTTGAGTGGCGTTTAAGATCTGTCAGCGATGAGGCTGCTACTTGGGACGCTGCTGGGAGGTCAGGGGAAAGCAACATATGAAAGTGTGAGGAGAAATACGTACGAATGTGTGACACGGTCAGGCAAACAGTTTCCAAAGTGGGAAGGACCACATATGGTCACGTTGAGATGGGGTTACCCAGACACAATCGCAATGGTAAACACAGAGAAACAGGTGAACATCCGCAAGCGCCGAGATTCCAGACAGCAAGAAAAAAGAGCGAAGCCCCATGAACCAAGAAGACCGAACCAACTTCAGTCGCAAGTCTTTGACGGGGGGACGAGTGTGGTGAGAGCTGTCTACTAGCCAAATTGGTAAACAGTAATTTACCTCAATGTTTACGTTCTCAAGATTGGTCGTGAGATAATATGAACAAGAATGATTCAAAAACCGACCACAGTAGACTTTGCGTAGGTGGATACAGTTAACATATAGGTGATCTGTTACCTGGCCCTTGTCTTCTGTTGTTGCAAGCATTGGGGTAAGTGTAGCTTGTCGATAGTACAACCAGCACTTTACAAATAGCCGCTTTTTGGATTTCATCGAATAGTGTTGTTGTTATTGTTGTTGTTGTTGCTGAATTATTTGATTATTTCTCCAAAATTTAGTCTACATTTACCCGTAAAACATAATCTCATTCGATTCGTATAAAATTAATGATCAAATTCGCATTGATTTTGAATATATTTTCTCTTAACTATGTCACGTATAGCATTGTGCAAAGAAAACTTATGAATCATCGACCAGTTCTATGCTTTCATTATAAATTACTCTGTGTGCGTGTGCGTGTTTGTGTGTGTGTGTTTGTGTGCCTAATGAACGTGTGGGTCTCTTTTCTTCCAATCTGTCCTGATGTTTTGTTATTAGGTCGTTTAAAGACACTAGACGGCAATCAGGGAATCAACAGTTTGTTCGTCTTTATTACTGAACTTAAAATAATATGGTGGTAGTAGTGTAACAGCAGAAGACAAGGGCCAGGCAACAGATCGTTTATTAGAGAAAATCAACACATATTTATAGATTTTAATGTACATTATTGTAGATTATTGTTAGTAGAAAATACGGTCTTTTGATTGGTTGTTTCTCACAGAGAGTTAACCTTGCATCTATCTCTTTGTGGCTGTGTCAGATCATCATCCATATGCTAACTGTATCCGCCTACGCAAAGCCTTTGTTCTCATTTTCTCACCACCAACCAATATTGGGGACATAAACATTGACGTCAATTCCTGTCTACCAACTTTGGCTAGCAGCCAGCTCTCACCACAGTAGTATGTTAGTGCATTTAAGCGTGTATTGAATGCATGAAGTGATCTAGTTCTGTAGGGAACTTAATTTATGCTTCAGTACTATAGAGTACGCCAAACATTTTAATCAGCCTCAGTCAACAGCTATATGAGGATACCTTACACCAAGTGATTGACAACAGGTAGCTCAGTGAGGAGTTTGAAAAGAAGACAGGATTCTGTAACTGATATCAATCCGTGGTCAGCTCATAAAAACAAAACTAACCCTTACAAACCAACTATAGAAAATTAATCTGATGCTCGCTAGTGAGTTGCTACAAGACGGAGTTTCCTGGAGTTCTAGTGGGAAGTCGTGACCAGTGAGGTCCATCCAGACGTCAAGTATGAGGATGGATTTCCCACCGATGACATTGGTTGGTTAGTGGCCGCGCTAAATCACGAATTGGTAGAAGTTGGAATTCATGGGATGGCCATTGAATTTGGTCCCGGTGGCTTGATGGCATACGAGCTTGCCTTATAATCGGAAGATCCTGGGTTCGAACCCTAGCAGTGGGTGTGTACTGCCGGTGATTCCCAAATTTGGATGAAACAGCAGCTGTCCAGTACTCCCTGTTGGTTTTCAATGGTTCTTCAAATGATATCAATCCGTGATCAACCCATAAAAACATATGATATTCCTAACTGTGCTGGACTGTATCATATGACAGACAGGAATACGTTGGAAAGGATGACAAGACTGTAGAAGATTTCGAATCCTCGAACGATTTATGTTTAACGTCACACAGACTCAAAGATCTATAGGCGGAAACCAAAATGTTGGCACAGCGGGCTGGCATTGAAGACAGGACTTCAAGGAAGCATGGAGAAGACAGAGGCGATGGTGAAGATATCCGGTCAACAACAAGAAGCACCAATTCCTTATCAAAGATAGAAATATGAAGAGAGTTGACACTCTATCATATTTCTAGGCAGCATTGTCAAAGGCGGCAAGATCCAAAAACCAAGACACACCTTCAATACTCTGAAATCAATGTGGAAATCTACAACAGCACTGAGCATATGAAATAAGATTCGGAGTTTTCAACCCTAAATGTCAAGTAAGTCGGTGTTTCAGAGATTTGGTGCACACAACACAGGAAGTATTTCCAACAGGCTACTGCAACAAGGGACTCTATCAATGAACCAACCAAGAACCTATTCTCCGACTAAAATGCCGGAGGGAATGGGAATGGGTCAGATACACACCCTGAGGATACCATTGAGTGGCATTGCGCGCAAGCTTGAGCGTCAGGGGGAATCTGTATTGGAAAGGACAAACTGGAGTGACAGGGAGGAGATGGTATGAGGATTACATAGAAGCTTATAGGTAGTAGTCCGGCCCTCTGGAAGTGATTGTATAGAATAGGAAGAAGTGGAGTTCTGCTTCTGAAGTTTTGTGTTCCACTCGGAACTCAAAGGAATATGAACATAAATAGTAATAATAATAATAACTTTCAAGTATTGGTTTTGTAGGGATTTTGTTTGATTGGATAGAGGATTTCATCATGAGCTGACATCAGTTAGAGGACCACTGGAAAACCAACAGCAGGGAGTACTGGACAGCCATTTCGTCAGCCTAGTTTGGGACTCTTCAACAGTACGCATGGGCAATTGGATCGGGTCCCAGTGGCTCAATGGTCTACGAGCTAGCTCGCTAGTCTTGTAACTAGAAGGTCCTGGGTTCGAACTCCAGTGGTGGGTGCGCACTGATGAAGAGTCCCAAAATAGACTGACGAAACAGCTGTCCAGTACTCCTAGCTGGTTTTCCAGTGTGGTTCTCTAACTGATGTCAGCTGACGATGAAATCCTCCATCCAATAATAATAATAATAACGTCACATCTATGAAGTTAGAAAGTCATTTTCCTTTTTGAGAAAAATACTGAAATCCTTTTTTTAGAATAGAAATAATAACTTTATTGTAACAATATTTCAATACATATAACTATCACTTTTATGTGTAATCTTCTTTTGTGAAATAAATCCTGTGATACGTCTTGAAGTTCCTGCACCTCTAATTAATTCTTCTGGTTCCTCCGCTACAGTCTCATTTGTCGCTTTTCCATCTTCAAAAAGACGTCCTTCATAGAATAGTGACTGATTTTCATTTTTACGTTCACTTAAATTTATTTTGATAATATATAAAGTGACTGTGAGAATCTGTGGAAATAAATCAAAAAAAAGAAAAAAATATTATCAGGTCTCAGAATTACTGAAATGATTTCTTGTTTTTCAGGAGGAAATTATAAGTAGATGTTTCATTTGTGAATATATATGGGAAAAGAATTTGTTATGATGCTAGATCTTTTTCACGAGGTCACTGCTTAACTACTGACCAGTGCCCACTTAACTGGTAAAGCAGAACACGCGAGAATCAGCGGTAAAACCAGGTTCATTTATTATGACAAAAGTGACTATATTTATACAGAAAATAAGGTAGACTGGAAATCAACCAATCCGGTTGAGAGTTGGAATTGTGCAAGCGTCCAATCAGAAGCAGGAACAATTGCATGTCAACGACTTGTTAATAACGCGAGAATAACTTGACTGAGACATGATAATGACCTGATAATTGCATGTCTTTCGCCTCTTCCTAACAGAATTTTATTAGCAGAGTGAGCATCACACAACTCTTTTCTCATCTTTCTATTGTCGGGATTTCGATGAGTACTCGAGTTCGATTTCATCACGAACAGACATGTTAGTTGAAGATCATCATCTGAATTCTAGGGAGTACTGGCCTCACCAATGACCTTACCCTGAGCCATCACAATATATACTGTTGATTGATTGATTGAGGTGAGTAAATTGCGTACCAGTCACATCAGATTGGAATGATGGAGAAATTGGTCGGCTTTTCAGCCTGAGCTCATCAGCTGCATACACACTGGGTTTGACTCATTTCACTGAAATGAATCACCTGATTTCTGGCCATCCACGTAGGCGGACTTGTAATACCTTGAATCAGATCCACAGTTTGCACAACTCAAGAAGGTGAAATGTCCCCGTCGTTTCACTTGATTGATGTGAGTGACGAACAAAACTACTCATCTCATTTAGTCAGTAGTATATGGTGCCATATACCACATGCATTGTGATCTGAATAACTTTAGTTTTCAAAGGAAACTATATGACGAAATTTTATTTCTCTGAACTGTGAATTCAACGTCATCCAGGACCATTGGGATTTACTACTACTACTACTACTGTGGTGAGAGCTGTCTACTGGCCAAGTGGTTGACAGTAATCGAGGTCAAGGTCAAGATGGACAGGCGGATACAGAACTGACACAGCCACAAGAGGTGCAAGGTTAACTTTCTGTGAGAAACAACCAATCAAATGGCTGTATTTTCCACTAACATTAACCTACAATAATTTACGTCAAAATCTATAAATATGTGTTGATTTTCCGTAATAAACGATCAGTTGACTGGCCCTTGTCTTCTGTTGTTACATTTCATGTCGCTGCCTACCGACAAATGGAAAGCCTATGCCCTGCAGTTTTTGATGGAGACATATGGATCTTCGCGCAGGACTTTGAGGCTTCTTCGCAGTTGAGTGGCGTTCAAGATCTGTCAGCGATGAGGCTGCTACTCGGGACGCTGCTGGGAGGTCGGAAGAAAGCAGCATATGAAAGTGTGAGGCGAAATACATACGAATGTGTGACAGGGTCAGGCAAACAGTTTCCAAAGTGGGAAGGACCACATATAGTCAGACACAATCGCAATGGTAAACACAGAGAAACAGGTGAACATCCGCAAGTGCCGAGATTCCAGACAGCAAGCCAAAAGAGCAAAGCCCCAAGAACCGAGAGGATCGAACAAACTTCAGTCGCAAGTCTTTGACGGGGGGACGAGTGTGGTGAGAGCTGTCCACTAGCCAAATGGTTGGCAGTAATTGAGGTCAATGTTTATGTATCAAATATTAGTCATGTTGTGATGAGAGATGGTTGCTAGCCAAATTGGTTGACAGTAATTGAGGTCAAGGTCAAGATGGACAGGCGGATACAGAACTGACACAGCCACAAAGAGATGCAACGTTAACTTTCTGTGAGAAACAACCAATCAAAAGACTGTATTCTCTACTAACATTAACCTACAAAATGTACATCAAAATCTATAAATATGTGTTGATTTTCTGTAATAAACGATCAGCTGCCTGGCCCTTATCTTCTGTTGTTACACTACTGCTACTACTACTACTACTACTACTCAGAAACTCAGAGATATCTAGGAGCGAACTAATCAGGAACCGATTGTGAAACAAATAGGCAGGAAGAAATGGAGATGGATTGGCTGGCCATACTCTGAGGAAACCATCAAATGATATCACTAGACAAGCCATTGCTCGAGTGGAACTCGAAAGGGAAGCGACGAGTTGGTCGTCAGTGCGAGGGTGACTTGGAGGAGGTCATGTGAAGAGGAGATGAAAGCATGTGGGCAGACTTGGAGCCAGGTGAAGACTCTAGCAGAGAACCGAACGCAATGGAGACGCACGGCTGAATCTCTATGTTTCTCTAGGAATTAAAGGAAATAATAATAATATACTCAGAAACTAGAGAGAAATCGAATGATTTGTGAATTTTAATGCTACCGCTAGCAAGTATCACTGGCGGGGAATCTGTTTTCATACCCTACTCGGTTAACCTCCTCAAAACAAATGTCGAGTGCACCCCCCAGTATACAGTGGTTATCTAGATAATATCATTTGGTGATGGAATCTAACTTGGAGTCAATCACATCCCAGCAAGTTAGCACTTGAGAATCTTTCATGACGACTGAATGTTTCAAGTTTTTAAAAGCCATTTGTTGGCCTTTAAGCTGATAAGAATACTGTTTCATCTCATGTTAAAGGCTTCATACAATTCTCCCTATTGATACAAGTGGTCAAGGTTACAGATATACGTAACAGAATGAAATGGGGGTGGGGTAGGGTGCTGTGAGGATAAGAGCTATCGCGAGGTGTTTTCGCGCATGGTGTCTACCAAACGCAACAACAGATATTCCAGCTGTGTAGAAGTGCCGTTATAACACTTGTAAAACAGACAAACATAACGCCCGGTACGATTACAGCATTCGTCTAAACAGGCAATACATAATCACATAGAACCAATTATCTGAGGAAATTGAAATAGAAACTGATTGCCTCCCTTCTTCCTACTCAAGTATACTGAGACGAAAGCGCGGCAACTTTGTTTTTCAAATAAGTTATGTTCTCACTCAATATGAGGTTATGCGCTGTAATTTTTTTAACTCTTCTGTGCACAAGTGAAGCAGAATTGTGGATTTCATTTAAAGTGTTCATATTTTCTAACATTCAAACAGGTGAAATGCAGGAGGGGGGTTTTTCTTCATATGCCTGAGTATAATATTGTTAAAAATCACCGATCAAAATGTCCACACGCATTACCAGTGTTAACTCAAGTCATCTGATAAATACTAAACTCCAAGTTGGACAATATGAAATCATTCAAAGTAACTAACAGGGCATAGAAACCTGTGATATTTTGCTCTGCCTAAGCAAGTGCAAGCAAGAGGCATCAACTGTTAGCAACTACAGTTTCTTAGTCTTCCATATTACAGCCATGTACTGACTGGTTAACTACACTCCATATAAACATGTTCACCAAAAAGTCTATGTTTTGCATTTTGATCACATATTGGAAACTACTAGCTCAAATCTTTATCAATCTTATTCAACAGCTATGTGACAGTAGAACGTGTCAGGCGATCCACAACGGAAAACTAAGCGAGGCGTTTGAAGTGCATACATGAGTTCTGCCATCCTCTTCAGCTGGCTCCATGACTGAATATAATCTCTCATCTTCTTCAACTCACTACACGATCTCCTCCATGTCTCCCTCGCACCGACGACCCACTTGTCGCTTCCCATCCAGATTCCACTCGAGCGGTGGCCTGCATTCCGCGTCATGTCATTCGACAGGTCTCCTCAATGTATGTCCGATCAATCCATTTCCATTTTCTCCTACACATTTTTTGAGCAATCGGCTCTCGCCTGCTGGTTTGTTGCCAGCTAGAGTTTCTTGTTGCTAATTCTTTCTGGCCGGCCAGCCTGCCATTTGATCTTCACTATGCAGCCAGCCAAGGAGACAGCTGTTGATAAAAATCTCCAGTAGTTTGCTGGAAATGCTTTTCGTGACGCCATCTGCCAGGTTTCTGACCCGTATAGCACATCTGAGTGACCAACTTCACATTTGTGTTCAAAATCTGAATCTTGTTGTTTACGCCGGCTGAGTCAGTGCAGAAGATTTCCAAACTGGTTTCGGGTCGATGAAGGCGTGCAGCCTTGCCTTTCCGATTCTGGTCGGCTTTCGCATCCTCATCCAATCCGATTACCTGTGGTTGAAACCGTGCTTCCTGGCCAGATAAGGGAGGCCAGGAATTAACCTCTGTTAAATCTCTCCCATTGATAGTGATTGGTGCTGTTTGCTTTTTGCTGTTAGTTGGTTATCTTCACCACCTCCGTCTTCTTTATGTTCACCTGGAGTCCTGTGTTCGCCACTCACCTCTTCACCCAGTTTGTTGGTTTTCGCCAACGGTGTACGGTGTGCATTAATTTAATTAGGGATGGAAATCAAAATTCTTCTCTAGTCAAACGATGAGTGAAACTATAATATTATGGGGAGATGCCATGTCGTTAAGACCTGCAATCGCCAACACCTCAGTAACATAACATACCACGAATCTAACTCACTGCTAGCGAATTGCTGACTTCGTCATGAAATTTCATTACACAGCTGACTCCGGAAACCGAAATTATTCAAATCAAAATGCATTTGATCTGGTTGATGTCGTAAATGGTGATCAAAAACCCAAGCATAAATGCATGATAGCATATACTATTGATTGATTGGGATGAGTAGTTGAATACTACTCACATCAATCATTGGTAATAATCCCGAATTCAGCTGGTTTGAACTGCTTTTAGGCTGTCTGAGCTGAGTCGAATGAGGTACACCAATGATGAGTGAAGCAGTTGTCCAGTGTTTGGATTTGGCTAGTAGGCACTACTAGCTAATGCGGGCGTTATGCGACTACTCATATCAAATAATCAGTAGTATATATCACCATTCATTTAACCCCCAAATTCTAGATCCCACTAATGGTTGTTGTTATACATAATCAAACAGTAATACATTAAGTTCATATATCAATTAAGATTACTTAGACAATTCAAATTATGGGTTTTCGTGGGGATTTGACTGAATCAATTTCAATGAGGAAACAGGCATAAAATGGACTCACACAAAAAACTTGGAGGATCTGGACTTCGCCAATGTGATATATGTCTGATTTCCCACAAACTGGAAGATATGCAAGTGAAAAGCAACAAGTTGGCAGAAGAAGCATCAAAGATAGGAAGGACTTCAGGTGAACATAGAGAAAACAGAGGTAGGTGATGAAGATTCCTGGGTAACACCACCAACAGCAACAACAACAACAGACAACAATCAGCATGAATGGAATAAATCTGAAAGAAGCGACCTCCTTCGCCCACATACACGTGAAGCATCGTCTAAACTGCAGGTGGACGGAACTGATGAGGACATCAAAGCGAGGATCGGGAAAGCAACGGAATCTTTCATTTCTCTGAAGTCTGTGTGGAGATGAACACTCAGCACTCAGAATGAAAAATAAGATCCGGATTTTCAACTCCAATGTGAAGTCAGTCAGTGCTACTATACGCATCAGAGACTTGCACTGCGCGTCATAAAGAGCATCTCAAACAAACTACAGAGCCCTCATTAACAGTTGTCTTCGCTCAATACTCAAGATCAGATGGTCAGAAAAGATCAGCAACAGAGATCTCTGGGAGCGAACCAACACAGCAGGAACTGATTGTGCAACAAATAGGCAGGAAGAAATGGAGATGGATTGGCTGGCCATACTCTGAGGAAACCATCAAGTGACATCACTAGACAAGCCATCGTTCGAGTGGAACCCGAAAGGAAAGCGGCGAGTTGGTCGTCAGTGCAAGGGTGACTTGGAGGAGGTCATGTGAAGAGGAGATGAAAACGTGTGAGCAGACATGGAGCCAGGTGAAGACTCTAGCAGAGAACCGAACTCAATGGAGACGCATGGCTGAAGCCCTATGTTCCTCTAGGAATTAAAGGAAACAATAATAATAATTTCAATGTAGATTTCCTCGAGAACCAGCACCACTTAGGGCGATCAATGAAAACTAAGAGGGCTAGGCACCTGTTTCGTCCTAATTTAGGACCTTTCAACGGTGTGAATCTGTTACCACCCTGAAAGTCGGATGCAGAACCTTCAACCTCTTCGACCACTTAATCACTTGAACCGGAATCCAGTGATCTGTGTATTCTGACTTTGACTATTCATGATATATCGCACTGCCTTTGACGATCATTCACTTCACCTTGACATAGTGGACCTCATATACCACAGATTCTCATCCAGCCGGACCTCTTGACCTGAAAGTCTAAAGTTCGATCCCTGGCGGCCTAGTGCGTGGGTGATTGAGTGCCGATGAATATTTCGAAACTAGGTCGAAAGACTTCTTATACAATGATCTCTAACTGTTGCTAGTTTGTAACGAAATAATTGATTTAAATTCCCCACATAGGTTATAATGATCAACCAGTTAGAATAACAAACACAATTTCTCTTCTCATGTATTATCCTCCATTCAAGCTTCGTATGAAGGAAAGATAAGACAGATTGATTGATCGATTATATGCTACTGTCTTTCAAAATAACGTCACATACGCCAGACACAATATATATTAATACACTTTCTTGAAAATATGATAACTCACGTGCGAAACAAAATACAACAAGGTATACAGTCTCTCGGGAATACTTGTAGTGTGAAAAAAGCTATGCTGTAATAGCATTTCTCCGCAACCCTGGAAAAGAGAAAATAGTAAATAAATAAGCCGTTAAAGTCAGTAAATGCTTGCTTACTACTGACAATGACATATAAGTAGATAGTTCATTTTACGAAAATATTTCTATTAACTGAACGTCTATTCAGTTCCATTACTTGGTAAACGGTACTGCACACAGTCAAATTCTTTAAGCTTAGCAAGATTTCACAGATACAAATTAGGGTTAGGCGTACTAACGCTAAGCTGCTAAGCTAACCATATAAAATCTCTCGAATGATTTTAATAAATAGGTGGCAATGGAAGGTTTGTAGTTATCGCTTTCATTAAAAAACATCTTAGTGAGAAGTCGTTATCATTGGGGTGCAGCAGGTCAGGTGTGAGGACAAGTACTCGCCAACAATGACATTCACTAGTGGTCGCGCTGTATAGTTATAGTTGGCAGAAGCTGGAATTCATGAACTGGCCATTAGATCCGGTCCCAGTGGCTTAACGGACTGCAGGCTCGTGTTTTAACCAGAAGCTTCTGGGTTCGAACCGTAGTGGTGGATGCGTACTAATGAGGAGTCCCAAAATGGGACGAAACAGGTTACTAGTACTTTCAGGTGTTCTGATGGTCCTCTAACCGATGTCAGTTCATAATGAAATCCTGAAAAACACTTTAATTTACGGCATTAGAAGATATCTTCAGATCAAGAAATTTGTCAGTAGTGTGTATAAGTAACCAAATGTGTCTCAGGACAACGAGATTTGGTCTTCCCAGCCATAGTCAAAGTCTGAAGCAAATTTGATGGTATTTCGATGTAGTCCTTTCTACCTTCTACTCTCAGTAGTATTTTCAAATGCTGATTTGCAAGGGATTGTTTAGTTTCAAATTCAGTCACAGACTGAACTTTGGTAAAATAAGGAGAAGTGTTTCGTCTTAGTTCAAGACTCGTCACAGTATACACTCATGATGTTACTGGAAATCGAACTCAAAGTCCTCAGGTGAACTTGCAATCGAACTTCAGGCTGATCGAATCTCTGAAGTCAACACTTGAACCTGAATATGTATGTAAACACGCTATACAGAAATTTTCAGTATAACTGGCTCCAAAATATTTCCTCTTCATTCAGGCATTAAATGTTAAGCAGTAATCTGCAATATATCATATGACGTAGCATTGTTACACATGAAGAGAGGACCAATTCTGTTAGTTCCTTCCTCATTTCCTTCATGAACTGCACAGCGTCTAGCTGGAAGTTAATTGAAATATTCACGCTAGTTATTTTATTTTTATTTTTTTTTATTACAGCTTGATTCCATACCGTATTTTTGGTACAAGTATGGAATTTTCAGCATGGATATCGGTAGCACAAATTTTGCAGGCCGACCATTGATATCGGGTGTGCGTCGGCAGGGGATCGAACCTCAGACCATGTGCATGGTCGGCGAGACTGTGCCACCGACGCAACGCAATGGTCATTTGATTATTTGATTGCATGATTAGAAGTATAAGAAACGCAGAATAGTTAAAGCACTTTGATGGACAGAAATTCTGGTAGCCTAGGGATTTAATAAGGTCGCCATGCTAGAAACAAATACCCAAGAGTGACTGAATGCGGAAAGAGATTGCTTGAAGGTCTTTCTAGTGAGAAGACGTGACCAATTAGGGTCTACTTGATTGGGTATGCGAACAAATGCAAGCAGATGAAATTTTAGCAAAAACAACCAGTTCTTATTGATTAGTATATACAAATCGTGAATGATTATATTCTCAGGATAAAATGAGCAAATATGTCTGTTTTGCTCCACAGCTTTTCATCAGCTGCTAACATCCCTGAAAATGATACCAGTATCAACAAATGCAAAAATACATAACATAGCCCAAAAGTTATTTCAACCCACAGGGTGTAGTTGTGGAAAAGGAAATGAGAAGAAAAGGTAGTTAACAATCTAACAACCAGAGTTTATGTAAATATAATATGATAGAACGTTTTCTAAGCACATGGTTGACATTGATATGACGATTAAGACACTTGTGTTTGTGCTAACAAACTTCCTATCTAATCAGTTCGCAAGCCTATTGTTCTAACTACTGTTAGAAATAACAACGACAACAACAGTTAAAAACGGATGGGATTTCAAAGGCTATAAGCCTAGTGAGAGAAAATTGGGTCATCAATCAATCAAACGGACATGTAAGCTGGTGACTCTAAACTACAGTGGCCCGAAACGAAACTATCTGGAGAACGGATTAATGACGTTGAGCAACCAGTCAGATGAGTCCGTAGGCGAAATTAAGCGTTCTGTACACGAATTACCCACCGAATCTCATCCACATCTATTATTTAAGTACTGCTTAGATCACGGGCTCATCGGAAGGGAGAAAACGTGTAACCAGCTGTCATCCCTGGACTATATTTATAACGTTGTCAATAATACGGACGATTTCGTCAGTCCTTTCGACGAGACCCACACAAATTCCATCGAAAGTTTCTAGTCATCTAAAAGAGAGGGTCGGAGTGGTGAATGGTTCAAGAAAAACGATGATTTTCAGTTTTTTTCATCGAATTTACGCACAGAAATTGGTTTAACCTAACTATTAGGACTCCTGTCAGAAAGTGGAAGCTTTTCTCGGAAGTTATTTTATGTAACTACTTATTAAAGTTACATTCCTTAAGGATAAACGTCTTTTTCAAACTACGCACTTCTACTTCGGAGGCATTTGATTGGTCGACAGAGATTTGTCAAGGTCCTGATTAGGTAGTTTTGTTTCATAAAAATGACATGTAGAAAATTAGGTCTACGTGTCAGGAATAGTCAACATCAGCCAAGCCTTCAAAATAATCAATACACAGAGAAAAAGCAACTCTGGTTACTTCACTTTTCAGAAGCAGCTGTTACCGAATAATTTCAAGCTATACCTACTGTATACAGAGAGATAATGCGATTAATCTTGTATCACCCTGGATCGAAGAATGCCCGTCAACCACGCCTCAAGTGGACCAGGGTTCGATCGTCGGCCGACATACTCCTAAACCTTGCTAAGCCGGCAGTAAGTTCGGTGAAGAGAGAAGGTTGAGCGTGGGCTTAGCAACCCCACTCAGTACAAGTAGAACCATTGCTGCTGAAACTTCACACTTCTAGCTAGAAGCCCTCCCTATGTTCCACTCAGGACATAAAGGAATAAAATAGAATAAAACACCTGGATGGTAACTAGACATCTCCATTCTGTTTCTGTGTTTTGTTGCGCAATCATTTCTATTTTTTTGCTTACAACTCGGTGAGCTGAACTCATTATCAGTCCTCTAATTTTAGCTTAGTTGCTTGTTTTGGTGATAATTTCATTTTTAATTACCATTTCTTTTCATCATACTCCTACCATCTTCTCTTGGATGTTTCATCATATTGCATGTAAATAAACTCTAGCTGTTGGGTGACAAACTATCTGATGTTCATTCCTCCTGTTCCACAACTATGCCCTTTGAATTGAAATACTTCTTCAAGTATCTTATATAAAGCTTATATTTATAATAACTTGTCTTTTTGGCGGGTGTTAGCCATTGATGAAACGCTGTAACTTAAAACAGACTTGAGGCTTTATTAAAATTTCTCTTGTCGTGTCGTTATACATGGGGGAATTCTCAGAAATTATCAACCATTGTTTTGCAAGGATTTGATTAGTTACAGGATTGGTCACGAGCTAACGGAAACAATAGAAAACTCTCCAGGGAGAAGTGAACACCTGTTGCGTCCCAGCTTGGGACTCCTTGCCAGTATGCGCCTACAAGGGCTCCAGCCCAGGACCTTCTGGTTACGAAGCGATCTCGTAGACCATACAACCACTGGGATCTTGTCTAATGGTCCACGAATTCCACCTTCTACCAATTCCTGATATACATATAGAGTAACCGCCACCGAGAAATTGTAATTTATGGGTGAGTGATTTCTTTCCAAATAGCTAAATCGTCAATGGGTTGGTCTTATAACCTGAAGGTCCTGGATTCAATTTCTGATGAGGTCATAGGTGCGTACTCCTGAAGACTAGCAAACGCAATAGGAGCAGAGTGTGTGATTTTGATCTACATACGTTGCGTGCTTATTGGAAAAATAGCTCATTGACGTAGTTAGACTGATTTTAATTTAGAATACATGAGTCAACAAAGAGACCTCTTGTGTTCATACATTCACTTCAAAACTGTACAGTTATTATTATTTTTTATTTCTTCACGTTCCCAGTGGAACATGAGGTTTGAAGCTGGAGCTTTCAAATTTCGGTAGCAGTGGTAATTATTTTTACGGAATCGGGCCGCAACCCTCATGCTCAATCTTCCCTCTTTACCAGTCCTATTGCTGACTTAGCGAGGTAAGGGAGTGCGTCAGCCCGGGATCGAACCCTGAGCCACCTGCGTGGCTGGCCAGCATTCTTCCTATGTGCCACCAACGCATCTGTTATGGCTTTAGTACCATCTTTTTCTTCTTTCTTTGTCTTCCTGAGTAACAGTACAATGAGCTCTATGTAGTCCGTTTTATGTTTTTGCAATTCATTTTTAGTCTTTCATTTTTTGGTCGCTGTGCGTTGGTGGCATAGCGGTTAGGACTCTCGCCGACCATGCACATGGTCCGAGGTTCGATCCCCTGCCGACGCACACCTGATATCATGGTCGGCCTGCAAAATTTGGGCTACTGATATCACATGCTGAAAATTCCATACTTGTTCCAAATATACGGTGTGAAATCCAGCTATAATCCACAAATAGTTTCCAAACGATTATTCATCATTCACCTAATTATATATGTCCGAACCAAGTTCACTTTTATTAGTTTGAAAAAAGTTTGGGCATTGGGTATATGACATTCATTATAATAAAGGTTTTCTTTGTATTTCCCAACGAATGAAAAACGAAACGATATCGTTAAGATATGTAGATGATACTTTTGTGGTGCTTAAACGAGATCTACACAGTTCATTCTCAGAGAAAATAAACAATCTATCTCCCAGAATCCAGCTTACTTCGGAAGCAGAATCAAACGTCCGTCAACTACCATTTCTAGACTGCCTGGCAAGTTAAGAGGAGCGAAAACGGACATTTTAGTATATCTATATGGCGGAATAAAACCCACTTTAACAAATATTTAGACTGCGGATCATCAAACCTTATCAAAGGAAAGGTATCGGTTGTTTCAAGTCTTCTTAGACGAGCACACTCTTTGATGCTAACAGATGAGAAAGAAAAAGAAGAAGAAATATCAAACATTACTGAAACTCTCAAGCAAAACAACTACCCAAAGAACTTCATCAACAAAATCAACACTGACATTAAGTATGGTCGAAAACGTATTCCAAAAACATGGACCTCAACAGTTGTCATTCTATATAGAGCGGAGACGTCAGACGATATCAGAAGAGTACTCAATAAGCACAAAATGAAAGTTTTCTTCAAAACATGTAAAAGACCAAATCCCTAAAAGTTCTGTATCTAATTGTGTCTAAAAAATGAAATAGCCGTTTCGTCAACGGCTAACACCCGCCAAAAAGACAAGTTATTATAAATATAAGGTGTATATAAGATACTTCAATATGTATTTCATTTCAAATGGCACAGTTGTGGAACAGGAGGAATGAACATCAGATAGTTTGTCACCCAACAGCTAGAGTTTATTTACATGCAATTTAATGAAGCTTCCAAGAGAAGATGCTGTGAGTATGATAAAAAGAAATGGTGATTGAAAATAAAATTATCACCTAAACAAACAACTAAGCTAAAATTAGAGGACTGATAATGAGTTCAGCTCACCGAGTTGTAAGCAAGAGAAACAGAAATGATTGCGCAACAAAACACAGAAACAGAATGGAGATGTCTAGTTACCATTCAGGTGTTCTATTTTATTCCTTAGAGAAGGCCTCGTCGACGCGTGAACTCGAGTAGCTGAATTCAAAGTCCACAGTGCTAACCTCTACACCACGAGGCATTCTGAACTTTGAAACCCGAGTTCAAGTCTCGACGAGGCCTTCACCTTCTACTGGGTTTTCGCCTTAAGTCTTCGAGCTTTAATCGTCCAAGAAGTTTATATCTTATAGTGTATTCTTATCGGTCCAACGTAATCCTGTTTCAGAATTTCATTATGAAATGACATCGGTTAGAAAACCATTTGAATACCAGCCAGGGAGTACTGGACATCCGTTTCGTCCCAGTTTGGGACTCTTCATCAGCATGGGGTTTGAACACAGGACCCTCTAGTTACAATCTCATAGACCCCTAAGCCACTGGGACCCAATCCACTGGCCACTCCACAAATTCCAACTTCTGCCAATTTACGATATGGCGCGACCATTTGTGAATGTCAGCGTTGGCGAGTATTTGCTCTCACACCCAAACTGCTGTACCCCACACCCCACGGCCTACAGCATGATCCAGTCTTGCCATTAGTAGGAATGCATCAGTGATAATTGGCAGGCTTGTTTTACTTCTGCCTTCACTTGGCTTTTAGCATTATCACATAATTGTTGAATAAGTTTAGTAAAGCTTTGATACACACTCATCAATGTTGAAGTAGTTTTTTCAAAAATTCTTCATAGTCCTAGATGAGATAAATGAGCTTATTCTATTGCATTGACCTTATGTATCGCCGCATACTGGCTCAGTTTTTTCTAGTTTCATTGCTAACAATGTTTTCTTGTCCTTCTTGTTACGGCTTACATCCGACTGGGGAAAAATTTGACTGAAAACTTTTACAGTCAGTCAACACATTTCAACAGTCAAATGTATGTGTGGATTTCAAAGGGAGGATGGAAGTCCTCGCAGGAATCTAATGAAATACCCATTTCGAATAAAGTATTTACAGCAATTAAAAGTGTTCTCTGAGCTGGTTGGTTTAGTTGCGAAGCTTTCGTCGTCTTTCTGGACAACATCTTCAGCGCCATATTTAGCACAAAGTGAAATGATTTAAATTTCTTCATGAGTGATGTAATTGCGTCTCCTGGTAACTATCTTTACATATGTATTGACCATTTTCTATTGACTTGGATTTTAAACTTTCTGGTCACCTGATTTACTTTTTATTAGTTGGTATATTTCATCTATATTAACGTGTTTGTTAATTGCATTTCCGTTTGAGTACCAGGCTTCTAGGAATTCTCTGGCACTTTTCGTGTTTCCTCTGTTTAAGATTTTGACATGATCCCAATCAAATTGATGACCATAATTGTCTGTATGCATTGATACTAAAGAATACATATCATGTCTTTTCACGGCTGATTTATGTTCTTGGATTCTAATTCGAAGGGGACGCCCACTTTGGCCGATGTAATGTTTGTTGCAGTTCATACAATTTATTTTGTAAATGATATTAATTTTATCCCCTTTTTCTGTTGGATCTTTTGGTTTGTATAATATCGAATTAAGCGATTTTACTGGCTTGTGTGCTATATCTATATCTGACGGTTTCAGTATTCTAGCTGTTATTTCAGAGATATTTCGCATGTATGGTAGAATGAATTTTCTTGTGGTCTTTGATGATGATTTCTTGTTGGTGTTTTTCGAATCAGAATCCAAGAACACAAATCAACCGTGAAAAGACACGATATGTATTTTTTAGTATCAATGCAAATAGACAGTAATGGTCATCAATTTGATTGGGATAATGTCAAAATCTTAGACAGAGGAAACACGAAAAGTGCCAGGGAATTCCTAGAAGCCTGGTACTCAAACGAAAATGCAATTAACAAACACGTTAATATAGATGAAATATACCAACTAATAAAAAGTAAATCAGGTGACCAGAAAGTTTAAAATCCAAGTCAATAGAAAATGGTCAATACATATGTAAAGATGGTTACCGGGAGACGCAATTATATCACTCATGAAGAAATTTAAATCATTTCACTTTGTGCTAAATATGGCACTGAAGATGTTGTCCAGAAGGACGACGAAAGCTTCGCAACTAAACCAACCAGCTCAGAGAACACTATTAATTGCAAATCATCCACCTGAGCTACAAATCTTCTCTATTATTACAAAGTATTTACAGCTTAACGGGATTCATTGTTTCCCACTTTATTAGGTGATTATTATTGTGAGTTGTATCCAACTATTTATACTAATATGAGAATTAAAGTAGTATCGCATAATTATATCAAAATAAGAGAATATATTAGATACCAAAAATAGCAAAACAAAAAATGGTTGAAATTCCATGATCAACAGGCTTACTTGAAAAAATGGGTGTCCACAGATTTCTACCTGTGCACAACTGGGTGGATGGGTACGATTGAGATCTGGGCAGCAACTGATAGGCAAATCAATTTCTAATAAAACAAACAAGAATCGTTTAAAAGTGACTTTTAACTTCTGATATTAATTCTTCAATGAAACATGAAGCATAGACAAGTGAATAGTTAGTATTAGGAATCGTAAATATCTGTAGCTGGCAGTCAAACCTCTACCTCAACTTCATCGACTTGGAAAAGGCCTTCGATAGTGTTGTCTGAGACGTAATCTGTGAACTAATTCAACACTAAGGCGTGAAGTGCCCAAGTCTTAATCAACGTCATTCAGAATCTGTATGATAATGCCAAGTGTCAGTTAGGTGATCCACAGTGGAAAACTCAGTGAGGCGTTCTTAGTGAATACAGGAGTAAGACAAGCTGGTTGCCTGTTATCACCGATGATATTTTGAATTGTGGTGGACTGGATTATGTGGAAGACTGTGAGTTGGTAGTGAGGAGTCAGGAATACGCTGGACGACCGATAAGAAGACTGTAGGAGGTCTGGATTTCGCATGTGGATGATATATGTTTAATGTCACACAAACTCGAAAACTTGCAGGCAGGCAGGCAAAAACCAACAAACTGGCAGAAGAGGCTAGCTAGCGATGACAGGACTGCAGGTGAACACAGAGAAGACGGAGGTGATGAAGATAACTAACCAATACACACGGCAACAACAACATCAACCAGTGTGGACAATCACCATCAACAGGAGAGATTTGATAGAGGTTACTTCCTGGCTTCACTTATCTAGGATGCACGGTTTCAACCACAGGCAGCTGGAACGGATGAAGATGTCAACACCAGCCAGAATCGAAAAGGCGAGATACGCCTTCATCAACCTGAAACCAGTTTGGAAATCTTCTGCATTCAGTCAACATAAAGAACGAGATTCGGATTTTCATCATCTATGTCAACTCGGTTCTTCTATACGGGTCACAAACTTGCACTTCGCGTCCATCACGAGAAAGATTTCCGACAGCTTGTGGCAGACTTTCATCAACAGCTGACACCTTTGATGGCTCCATACTGAAGATCAAATGACGGCGGGCCGGCCAGAAAGGATAATCAACAAGAAACTCTGCAGTGGAACAAACCAACAGGCGAGGGCCGATTGCACAAAAAATATGTAGGAGAAAATGGCGATGAGTCGAACATACGTTGAGGAGGAGGCCGCCGCATGACATCACGCCCAATGCAGGCCACCGTTCGAATGGGATCCCAATGGGAATTGACGAGTGTGGCGTTAGTCTGAGGGTAACATGGAGGAGGTAGTGTGGCGAGGAGGAGATGAGAGCTTATGGTCAATCGTGGAGCCAGATGAAGAGGACAGCACCAAACAGAACAAAGTGGAGATGTGTTGTCAAAGCTCTATGTTCCACTCGGAACCCAAATGGAACAATAAATAATCAATACCCGAAGTTAGAAGATGAACATACGTTGGGTTGACGAAAAGACTCTAGATGATCTGAACTTCTAGGATGATTTATGTCTTATACTACTCTAAACTCGAAGATTACCAGGCCAAAAACGAACAAGTCGGCCGAAGAGGCATCCAGCGAAGATAAGACATCTAGTGGATATGGAGAAGAGAAGAGTAATAAAGATACCTAACTGACAAGAGTAAACATCAACAACCACTAGAAATGGTAAAGATTTGAAGGAAGTTAACTCTTTCCCTTATCTAGTCAGAATCACGTCGACTATTGGTGACATTGGATGAGCATGTCAAACGCAGGATCGTTGAAGGGCAGGCTACTCTAGATTTTTAACAACAATTGCCACTTTTATCATGATGCTGCAGATCAGATGGTCATTTGGAGGGAATAAGCTGAAGAGACCTTCAATAGACATTACAGGTTAGACCATCGCTTAAATCCAAAAGGAGAAGTAGCGGGATGGGCAGGAGTCCGAGGGTGTCATGTAAGAGATTAAGCCATAGAAGAATGATGGTTTATGTAAAACCACAGAGCCAGATGACAGGAGGCTTCAAGGAATATAATACAATGCAGATTTGCTCCTGAAGTCTGATGTTCCACTAGGAATGAGAAAGATGAGTAATAATACTAATTGCGAAACTGATCACTTGTATAATGGAGAAGATTTGTTGCTCAGGTGGATGATATTGAGTTAGTTGTGTTCTCTGAGGAGCTGGTTGATTTAATCGCCAAGCTTTCATCGTCCCCATTCTAGACAACATCTTCAGCGCAGGTTTTAGTATAAAATGAACTAATTTAAATTAACCCATGAATGTTGTAATTGTATCTCCTGGAAACTCTTACCGTGACTGGTTGTTTGTTAATTCACGTCTCTATTGAGCATATTTTTATTGACTTGGAACTCGAACTTTCTTGTCATGTGTAAATTTGGTCTATAGTTGTAATGTGTTTGTCAACTATTGGCTGGCTCACTTGATTAAATGCTGTGAGTAAGGCTTGTGGTTTGCCACTGCGTGAGCTCGCCAATACTATAGTCGAGAGACACGTAAATTCCTGTACAAAGTGGGCAAAGGCCGTACTGTCAGACCCTCTGCACCCTCTTTATTCACAACTATCCCCTTCTATCTCATCAGGTAGGATGAGAAGTCAATATAAGAAGTTATATGCTCGAACCACTAAGTACAAAAATTCTCCAATACCCTATTTAGCCCGTATTTTATGTGATGAAGACTCTGTTAGACGTGAAACATATAAGTTACTATGTAATTAGCATAGTGAATCGACCCTTTCATTGTTCATCTTTCTGTAATTTTATGATGTCACCCTTTCTATCGTTTAATTATAACTTTGCTATTTTTATTTTAGTTGTTATTACTATTATTACTATAATTTTTTATACTTTATGCATATTTTTCTCCGTACTGCATACAGTAATTTGCTAAATAGCTGCTATAAAAACGTTTTGTTATCATTATTATGTAATGATTATTTCTTTTATTTTTTGTTGTTGTCATTTTTGAGTAATTTGGATGCAATATTGTACTGAATACTCAAAATTCCTTGCTGTATCATTAGTACTGTTTTTAGAATAAAGCAAATTATTATTATTATTATTACCAGGCTTGAAGGAATTCCCTCGCATTGCTTTTGGTGTTCACTCTATTTAAAAATTTCTACACTATCCAAATTAAATTGGTGTGTATAATTCTCTATATGCATTAATATGAACGAATTTATATATATATATATATCATGTCTTTTTACAGCCAATTTGTATTCTTGGATTCGAATTTAAAGGGGCCTCCCAATTTGACCGATGCCATGTTTATTGCAGTTCAGACAGTTTATTTTGAAAATGGTATTCATTTTATCTTCGCTTTCTGTTGGATCTTCTGGTTTGCACAATATCGATGAATGAATTGGTTGTGCTGGCTGGCTTCTGTGCTAAATCTATTTCAAATGGCCATAATATATTCGAGCTCTTATTTCAGAGATATTTTTTATATATGGTAGGATGAATTTTCTTGCAGTCTTTGACGATGGTTTCTTGTTGGTGTTGTGACTCGAGTTTAACACTTTTTGATGAAATTGTGAAGATATCCAGTCTTTTTGAAGACGGTTAGTAGGTATTTTTCTTCCAGTCTCTTCAACACTGGAGTGCTACAGTGTGTTTGAATTCTTTTAAACAATATCTGCGTTTGAAACTATGGGCACACTGGGTTCGAGCATCGGTGGGAACATCATCACTCACTGGGAAATGCAGGTACATCCAGATGACGGGTCCCAAATAGGACGAAATGCGCATCCTGGATTCCATTGCTAGTCACCATCCACCAATTAAACTCTAATATCTGCACACAGCTTCTTTTGTGAGTAATCGGGTTATTGCCATTATAGTTGAGTATTTGGTATGTGTGCGTTGACTTTCTGTATACTTGTGTTTCTAAAATTCCTGTGTTAGTTCTCTTAAAAAAGGAAGACATTTAAGAATGGAATTTTGATATCAAATTCTTCTTCTCTCTTGGTGAATTAAATGTCTTCAAATATGTTGTTTATTAATTTGCAGGTATATTACAAATCAAATTTCTTTTAATTATTACAAATGTATCATCAACGTAACGCACCCAGATTTTTGGTTCAATCATAGGTTCGTCTATTAATTCTAGTGTTTGCATAACGGCTTTAGCCAATAGTCCTGAAATAGGCGATCCCATTGGTGTTCCTTTTATCTTAGAACAAGACATATAAGCGAACAATATTGTTTTCAATTAGATCTTCTTCAGGCTTTACTCTAATTTACATAGATTTATGTATAAAATTTTAACCAATGACGGTGATTTTGGGAAACAAATAATAATAATAATAATAATGTGGTAAATGTTTTGAACGAAATTAATAACGATGATTATAATGATAACAAAATATTGATAATAAGGTTTATGCAGGTGATAAGAATAACAAAGATAGTATATGTATATAAGTGTATAAATAAATTGGGTCAAATCTTAAAAGGTGAAGTGGAACGATAATCAGAGTTTAAATAAATATTATAAAAGTACGAAAGAGATGGAAAATAAGAAAGGGTGGGAGGGCTTTGAATACAATTCACCTAGGCCAAGAGAGGGAGAGACAAAGGTAGAACAAACTTCTTTTGTATGCAAAGACTAGGATTGTTCTCTCGAATTCCCATAGCTTCGGCCAGGTGTAAAAGACGGGTTCTGATTCCATTCGAAAGACTGGATGGAATACGATAGATAACTTTGAAGGCACTATTTTTGTCCACTTGGTGACCGCTATCAATCAAATGAGCCAAAATAGAACTTTGTATGGATTTTATTTGACCTTTTCCGAACCATGAAGGAAGATGCTCATTAATGCGCTTGTTAAGTTGTCTAGTTGTTCGCCCTATATAGCTTTCTCCACAGGAGCAACTAAATTTATAGATACACATCGAAGTGGCACAACAAGGTAGCTTATCTTTCACTTGAGCAATCAAAATTGGTCGGCTGGAAAATGACAAACAAAGGGTGGCGGCAGGATAAGTCCGTTTTATCGCTCTCGATAATCTCAGATGTAAGACTTCACTAGCCACGTCCCCAT